ATTTAATTTTTTAACTATCCAATTAAATTTATCTAGAGGCTTAATAGCTATTCTGGGGTTGGTTTAGCGGCTTAACTTATGGTTTTGCCTTTATAGAACTGGCTCCTCCCGAAGTCCCCATTGAAAATTCTGCAATGATGACAGCAAGGACAATGCTAGGAACAATCGACATTTGCACTCTCCAACCAACACTTCCATTTTCATTGGGCCACGTAAGCCTGCGTCCCCAATAAAAAAGCATGTGTTGGCTGCAGAGTGCAGGAGGTGAGTGCCCCTACCACTGCTCTAACAGGAAAGGGAAAAAATATATTCATCAGTCAACCACTTAATAGTGCAGTAGTGCTCTTTTTTCGCTAAATCGTTATAACGCTAGAAAAAAAAAAATTTTGAATTTAAGTTGTATGATATATAGTAAAATAATATAAAAAATATGAGATGATTTTCATATATTATATAATTAAAATAAAAAATATATATTAATTAATATCTTAAAAATTTTTCCGCCACGATTAGAAGGCTGAATGAGTTCACGAACCTAATACATACGCTCCAACTCAAGTTCAATTATTTATTGAGTTTGAAATTGAATTCATGCTCAGTTTGTTTAACAAACGAGTTGAGTTTGATTCAAGATTACATCAAGCAACTCATGAGCTGTTTGGTTCATTTACAACTGTAGTCACAATTGAGGAAAAATTCTTCTCAGCTGTTTTATTTTGTTGGCATTTACAGTAAGAGTGTCTCCAGAGTGTCTCCAGAATGGTTCTTACGTATTTTGATATTGTTTTCCCTCCTTAAGTGATCTCAAAGAGATACTTCACTTCTTTTTTTTTTTAAACGGTTTACAATAAAAATGATGGGATTCAAACTCTAATTTTAAGACTTGAAAAATGTATCTTACAATTCAGTATAAAATTCTCGGAACATGAGATACATGTATCAAGAGATATTCCACATTAATTGTATATATTTAAAAAAAATAAAATTTTAATTATTAATTTTAAAATATAAATATAAATTTAATTTATATAATAATATTTATTTTTAATAAATTTAATTCTTAAAATTATAATCTATTTAATTTTTTATTTTAAATTAATATAATTTTTAAAAAATTAAAAAAATAAAATAAAAAACACCTCCAAACATTAATTGAATCGGTCGTAAGCAAGTTCCACCCACCCAGAAAGCAGGTTCATAATTTAGTTAATTAAAACTTGACTTGTAAGAGGTCCACGTTCTATGTCAGAAATTGTTTATGTCATATTACAGATTTTATGGATTTTGTAATATGTATATATAATAAATAATATTAATAATTTAAATAATTAAATAATTATTTTTTAAAAAAATAAAAAATTTTAAATTTAAAACATATTATATATAAGTGAAAGGTAAGATAAGAAATGAGATATTATTATTTTTTATTGTGTAATCAAGATAAAATAAAAAAATAAATATTATATTTAAATTAAATTTTTAGATTTAATAATTTATTTTTAAATTTTAATATTTAAATTTAATTAATTAAAATTTTGATTTTCTTTTACCTATTTGCAAAAATCTCCAATATTAAAAAAATATATATTAAATTCTTATTAACTAAAGTTATTTAAATTGTAATGTTATATTTCTTTGTGTTAAATATAAATATAATATTATCGGTAATATATTACTTTTCACTGTAATTGAGGCGTGAGACTGGAGGAGCGTGTGGAACGCGCCAAAGTTTGAGCTGGTAAAACAGAACATCACTATCCATAAAGCACGAATCACGTGATACTGAAAAGTGCACATCTATCATAGACCCAGCGAAGTCTTCGTCAATATTCAATTATAGTGGCGATCGCGCGTCTGCAGCAAGACCTGGCCCACAGACGTTCGAGTAAACGCTCGACCAATAGTGATATTGATTATGTCGACAGGCGGAAAGGTCCAAAGGGAGGAGCAAAAAGACAAGAAATGTCCTATTTTGTGATATAAAAAGACTAATAATTGTTTTTTTTTTTTTTTGGTTTCTCCCTTGTTACGCGAAGTTTCACTTCGATTAATTTGGACTCGATCCGCGTCGCGCATTTAGAAATAGTGGGTGAGTCTCCCAACGAGAGCTGCTGCTACATAAGATCTCGAACTCAAGATCTTATTTAAGCTAAAACAAATCGCTTACCATTTGATCCAACCCATTGTTAGTAGACTAATAATTATTCGCCGGTCATTTTTTAAATTGCAAATGTTCTTCTCAAAGATGTTAAAGTATTATTCCTCCACTTGCCCCTAAATCACGCCGGCTACGTGCCGTTAAAGACAACGTTACAATTGGTGGATTCAAAATGATCTTCACGATTATCGATCGATGCATATTCGTTTTTGTGGACTTCACTCATGCTATCGCGCGAACAAGTGGACAGGGGAGGAAGGTGCGGGTGGGTGGGATGTTAATTTTATCTACCCCACCGCTGGGGTTATTGACCCCCAGATTTTATCTAACCTGCTGGTAAGGGGTATGGACCTTACCGGAAATTTCATTTAATTTGTATCATATTTGCATAATCAAGAAAGAAAAGCAACTGAAATTGTAAGTTAGTTGACGAGTGCATGCTTCTAGTTAAGAGTTTTGGGTTTGAAATTCTCCTTCTACCCGTATTGAGAGAAGGAAAAAAAAGAAAGATTAGGAGCAGGAAATGCTAAATGCTTTTGTTACATACATTTATATCAGAAATGTTGTATCCGATCCAAAACTAATTATTGGATTGGTTAGTCTTTGGAGAAGTATGACGTAGTCTAGATTGCCAAAAAAAAAAATTATCTATATATTTTTATATTTTGTAATTTATGTGAATCTACTATTACAAAGAAACTTATCTAAGTGCACTCTACCATGCCCTTTTTTTATTTTAAGATTTTGTCTTTATTATTTTTAGTGCAAGAGATTTGGCCTTTTTGTTTAGCATTTTCTCAGTGCTTCTTCTTAAACCTCACAATGCTTTTTGATTATCCTAGCTTTATAGTTCTATACCTCAAATGTTGCTTTCTTAAAAAGCCGTATATATAGTGTTAAAAAAAAAAAAAAAACCCGTATATATAAAACCATATATGTAATATAGTTCCTCAAAAGCTAAAATAGTTTTAACGCTCTATGCTCAGGAATTGGTGGTGATAGAGACCTCTTCAGCGCTTGAATTAAGAATGTATAGAGATGTACCAAAAAAAAATTAAGAATGTATAGAGGACGGAGCGCTAAATGTAGTTAACCTAATCATATAGGTGTTCTATTTTTCAGGGGTTAGGTGGGGTTGGTTACGTTGTTAATTTGGATGTTTGGCGCAATCAGTTTAGTTTACTGTGAGAGTTGAAATACTGTCATACTCCTCTATAAAGTGGAGCCCATTGGAAAAAAAGTTAGACGCAGGAATCAATACTGTTTGATGGGAACCTTAACTTTGTCTTCAATACAAGTAGCCAATGGGACTCACTTTTCGCTGTCGGCTGTCTGTCTTTCATCATCAGTTCTCATCTTGTGGCTTGTGCCTTGTTTTTATTTTTTTATATTTTTACCGATTGTCATGTGCTTTCTTTTTTTTTTTGTTTTGTTTTTAGTTTTTTTTTTCCATTGATTGTTCTGTGCTGTGCTGTTGGAATTAATGGAAGAAATTGGATGCGAAATTAAGTCTTGACTCTTGAGTATCAAGATTCAAGACTTTCAAATGGTATCGATTATTAATTGCATCAAACAAGCTATCTCTTATAATTTCTCGGATTATATTGATCAAGAGCCTCCTCGTTCTCAAAGAAGAAGAAGAAGAAGAAGAAGAAGAAGAAGAAGAAAACTGATAATTCGGGTGGCAATATTCTATTGCAGAAGCATGGATATTTATTGCGAAGCTTTTCTTCTCTGCTTCTTCTTCTTCCCTTGATTTCATTATTTGCAGTTCCATTTATCCGATGAAAAGCTAACTGCTTTCAGAAAGAAGATGAGCAAAACAAATTCCAAGAAGAGGAGTTAAGAGGACACTTAAGAGGAAGCTATGAGAAACTAGCATCCAATGCTTGCTTCTAGACAAATCATTGGCTTCTCAGTCCTATATATATTAATATGCAAGTTGAGGGGATTAAGTTTTTGAGGAGGAAGCTTCCCGGTTGTTTCACATTTTCGGAGCAAATTAATTGTTTATTAATAGCGAAGAGAGTCTGACGATCCAAAGAAAAAAGGCGAAGAGAGTCGAACGATTTCGACGTAAAAGGCAGACTGATCGCGCGATACTCGTCCGTTTTGCGCATTTTTCTATTCTTTGGTTTAGTTTTCACGGAAAGGAAACACGGTTTTTTATGGAAAGAAACATTGTTAACGTCATTCATTTTTTTTTCATTATTAAATATTTAAATTTGTAATATTTAAAAGTGACATTAAATTTAATTAATTTAAAATTAAATCTAATTAAATTTTATAAAAAAATTTTAATATTTATTTTTTTATTTTTTAAAATTTAAATTTAAAATTTTATTAAAATAGATAAACTCCTTTTATTAAAATCAACACATAATTTATAAAGTTCTTATGTTATGTAACTTTAATTTCAAAGGTACATATCCAGAGGCTAAACTCATTGATTATTAAAAAGAAAACAAGAAAAGCTAAATCCATTGTCTAGTGAGTGACATCTGCAATAGATATACATCACTTCCCAAGACGAAATTGAACCGTCCTTAGAGGCTAGGGTACTTAACCGAAAACATTTTTTCTAATTCATATATCTAAAAAGGACTTCATTAATCATTTTAATATTATTTTATTTAATTCATTTTAAATAAAAAAATTTATATTTAAAATCTATTTCTTAAAAAAATTTGCCAAAGTTGATCCAACGGCCTACATGCATATTTTAAGAAACAATTTGAAAATGAAATTAAAAAATATGGCAAGAGAACAAGGTTTCTAAAAAGAAAAAAAATAAAACTCTCTTTAAAATATGTTACAATTGGTTAAAGTTATATTTCTTTTTTATTATTGAAGAAAATAATGGGAGAGAACTCCTATTATACATGCTCTTAATTTTCTTTCTTAAATATTTTTCTTATAAGTTATATATAAATGTATAAGCCCCAACTCCCTAAAAATTAGAGTCTTAATTTTAAAAATATCATTTTTTAATGAATATGTAAAAAAAATAATTTTTTGATTTAATATTTTATTAATATAGATTATATATGTAAATTTTAAAGCCTATTTAATATCTATAATTATTCGATTAAAAAACTTGTTTTTTATAATATATGTTTAACGCTAGTAAATTTTTTAAAATAATAAACAAATTATATATATTCAATTAATTTAAAACTTGACTTGTTTTTTATAATATATGTTTAACGCTAGTAAATTTTTTAAAATAATAAACAAATTATATATATTCAATTAATTTAAAACTTGACATTTATAAT